TGGCAGATTCTAAGCTTCTCTAGGATTAAACAGCGAAAAACTTCGCAGTAAGCCATTCCCCAACCAACTAACCTACCAGCCAACCAACCAACCAACCAACCAACCAACCAACCAACCGATCGACCAACCAACTAACCAACCAACCAACCAACCAACCAATAAAAACCCAATCAGGTATCCAGACAAGACTTACCAGCTTTCGGCTTTCTCGCTGGTTTCTTCTGCACATACGCAAACTCGTCCTTTTCCGATACCCCTCGACCTTTCTGTTTCACTAAGACTTCTTCAGGCTCTTCTTTTCCCTCGTCCTCTTCTTCTTCCTCTTCATCCTCGTCTTTGTCGTCCTCATCATCGTCATCAACGTCATCATCACCATCATCTTCTTCACCACGTGAATTTCTGCCTTCATCGTCAATATCATCATCGTTATTATTAACGTCGACCACGTCCTCCCCCTCCCCTACCACCGCCTGCCTCTCCTCATCGCCGAAGTAGTCGTACTGGTCTTTTGGAGCCCGCATCTCCCTCTTCCTCCTCCGCCGCCGGGGTCTGTACCCACTCCTCAGATCATCGATAACCTTTTCTTCTTCTCTCTCATTAAACAAGTCATCGTGATCTGAATGACCCACGGGTTCCTCAGCGTTCAGCCCAAAGCTCAGGACATCATCACTTTGACTGTTCTGCTCTTCTTCTCTCGTGTTAAGCAAGCGACCATCATCTGACCCACTCCTTATATTCTTGATAACATCTTCTTCCTCTCTCTCGTCAAACAAGTCACCGTCATCCGATCGACCCACGGGCTGCTTAGTTTTCAGCCCAAAGCTTGAGGCACCGTCACTTTGAATCGTCTTTTCGTCCTCTCTCTCATTAAACAAGTGGCCGTCGTTTGATTGATCGTCAAGCTCCCCAGTGTTCAGCTCAAATCCCTGGTCACCGGCCGTCTGACCTTGACCTGTCTCTTCCTCCTCCGGCCACTGGTCATCTCGTGGGTCATCCAGGGAGAAACTCGCGCGCCTTAAAGGCGTGTCGGTGACGTTAGCGAAGAGTCGTTGGTCTCTGGGAATGGTGCGGTCATACGTATCGTCAGACGGTGGAGGTTTGACCACTTCAGGTTCGGAGCTCAGGTCAGTGGACCAACGGTCTCTCCAGCCTGAGGCGAAATCAGGGCTGTCCTCGTTAATACGCTTCATGTTCCTCTCCACTTCTAGAATGTTCTCCAGCTTTCTCCGGACATCTGCGGAAGAAACTTTTCTTCCAGGATGAAGCCGACCCCGGAATGTTTTGGCATCGCGGCTGTGCAGAAAATGTCTGGAATTTTGCAGAGGGTATTTATTATTCTCACGCTCGTCAGAAATCTCTTTGGAGTTTGGTGCGCCTTTTGTCTTATCGCTTGAATCTCTGACATATCTGCGCTGATTTCCAGAACGCCTGTCTGTGTGTTTGTGTTTCAGGCTACCGCCACGTACGTTCTTGCGTGTACCTGAGTCATTGTCAATGTATGTAGTGGGTATTGTCTTCGCTCCTGGAGGGCGCATGTCTGTTTTGTTGTGCAAGTAGTCAACACGCCAATTTCGACCTTTGAGTCCGATTCGTCCTAGCCTTGCGTGACGTCGTTTCCTGAACTCCGGCGTCCAGGCGTTTGCCGCGTATCCCCCACCTCCCGTGACGTCATCATCATCTGTTTCCTGTAGCCGAAGAACAGCCCGGGAAACGTCGTCAGAACTCGCCCGCTCCTCCTCCTCCCGCGCCAATTGTTTCCTGGCCCGCCTCTCGGTCAGTGACGTAGGCAGTCGGGCCAGTAGGTCCACCAGATCCTCCTTCATGGCGACCTCCTCGTCGGTCACGGGGTCAGGGTCACGGTACTCGTCCTTCACCTTCCCCGAGGACCGCCTGTTTCTCCTCCACATTACCACGGTACCCTCGCTGACGTCGTGGTCCAGTGGCTGCTCACCCACTACTCCGTTGTCCACGTGAGTGGCAGATTGTGCATCTTTGGCATTGACCACTGATCGCTTCCTCCTTCTCCTCCTCGTCGTTCTCCTCCTCGTCGTTCTCCTCCTGCTTCTCCTCCTCCTTAATCTCTTCCCACTCATCCTCCACGGCCGATCAGCATCCTTAGACCGTTGTGTCAAAACATTACCACTCCCATTCTGCACACCTTCGTTTCCTGGACTCGCCTCCATGTGTTCAGATTTGCCAGGCTCCAGGATAGAGAACTGCCCCCTACCCTGCCTCTCTTCCTGCCCGCTGCCGTGACCTCTATCCGGCTCCACCCCCTGTCGTTTTTTCTGCACCGTGTCCAGCATCACAGCTTGCCTGTTGTTATAACCCTCCTTCATCCCCCATTGCTTGTTACAATCCTGCCTCCTCACACCCAGTCTAATGTTATAAACCTCTTGTCCTATCCTATGTCTTCTGTTGTAACGCTTCTGACCCGCCCCCTGTCTATTGTTATAACCCTCTTGTCCTATCCCACGCCTAATGTCATAATCCTCCTGACCCACATCCTGTCTGTCCTGCCCACTCCTGTTTTTCCCTGTGTCCCACCTACTCTTCGACCCCCAATCAAACACCCTGTCAAGCCCCCCGCCATGCATCACCCTACTGTGACCCCACGTGGGGTACTCACGGCCGGACGATTGGTTCAGACGCGTTTGGGCACTCCCAACTCCGGGGTTTCCACCTGTGTCAAACTTACGCCGTGAAGCGTCTGAGATCGCGCGGTACGCAGACGCAAAAGAGTCCCAGGGCCGTTCGTCTTTCTGTAGATGAAATCTCCCTCGTCTGAGGAGAGCAGAACTCACTATTTGTTCCCCAAGTTGTCCATGCCTACCCCAGCGTGCACCAGTCTTCATCAATCCTTCGTAGCGCAGTCGTCTGTGAGCAGACGCAAGCCTCCTAGCGAGCATGTCAGCCATCTTGCGACATCTGCGCAGTCGGGCATTGAGAAGTTTGATCACCACCACTCGCGCGAGATATGAGGACTCAATACCATTCTGTTTCCCTGAGAAGTGATGCGCCAGACCAGGAGGTTTGCGAGACTGAGTCTTCTTCTGGTTCAGAGGGCGAGGATTGTGCCACTCGTTTGGTTTCCTCTCTAATGACGTCACCGCGGACTGCCCGCGAAGAGGTTTGAGTCGAGGCCGAGGTAATTCATCAAACTTTGCAGACGGGCGTTCATTCCCAAAAAGTCCGTTCCATAGCGGAAGAAGAAGCCCCGCATTTTTTCCGGAGTAGTCCGATGTATCTTTTGATCGTTGTTCAAATCTTCTCGGACTCCCGAGACCCCTCCCGTACACCTCGTCGGGTAATTTCTCGCCGGAGAATTTATCATCTCTGTAATCAAGCACACAGCCTCTCCCGTCGTCCCCCTCCCCGCCCTCCCCCGCCCTGTCCTCAGCCCGAGCAAGGGAAACAACTCTCACATCATCGTTCATCATCAGAGAATTGATTTTCTCCCCTTCCCCGCCGGTCGGTTTGGCGTCTCCTCGGGACCGGCCGAGCGGCCATGTTTTATTCAACGTCTCCACCCACGTACCGCGGGCTGCCAGCTGGGAAGGAAAAAGGGAATTTCTGGTACTGAACTTGTCGTTAATCTCTCCCCGGAGTGGCGCTGCAGTCGCCTGACTGACGTGTTTACGAGTGAGGTCATTCGTCCACCCGGGTGTGTACACGTCTTCTCCCGGCCGAGGAGGGAGTGACCCATGGCCGGCGGTACCTTCTACGTCATCAGTCAATCCAGCCACTGGACTGTCTGCAAGCCGTGTTTCTTTTCCATTCCATCTGTTTTGACCACTCGTCAAACCGTGACCGTTGCTGACATCTCCAACGTTTGCCACGCTGGAATTCGAACCCAGACCTGTCACGCCAGGCGGGACCACTCGACTGCGGTCGGAGACGATCTCTTTATTCTCTCCATTACGTCCCTTTGCCTTCCGTCCGCGAGGGGGCGCGGCGTCGCTGCGGTCGGCGCCCGTGACGTGCTCGTTGCGCAGACGACTGTCGCCTTTTGCCGCGAGCTCATCCATTTCCGAGCCGGTGTAATGCCTCATAATGCCCTCTAATTCGCTTGAATTAGCCCTTTTACTTCCGCCTCCTGCCTGCTTATTGAAATGCGCAGACTTGAGCAACTGGTAGATTCTGCGCATCTGTCTTCTCTCGGCGTCTCCTGCTCCCTGTCCCCCTCTCACTCCCGTCCTCCATCCTCCCTCTCTCACCCCTGCTCTTTTTCTCTCCTCTCTCACTCCTTCCCTTTCTCCCCCCTCTCTCACTCCTGACCCACTGGCCGAGTTGCTTGAGGGCTCGGCTCTCCGTTTTGAGCGTCTCGCGTTTCTTGACCCCCACCCTTGCGTTGGGCCACTGATCTTTTGACCCGAAAGTCCTGGAGAACTCTCCTGTTCTTTGTTTTCTTTCTCTTCTTCATACCTGTTGTCTTCGTCTTCTTCTTCGTTTTCTGCATCCTCCTCGTCCCCCTCATCTTCCTCATCCCTCTCTGACTTCCCGGTCTTCAGGCTGTACGGACCTTCAATTAGTTTCCCATCATCACCCCCATTCTCCACTGACGTCATAATCACTTTCTTTCTACCTCTCGAACGTGCCCTCTTTGGGTGAGTCCCGAACCCCAGAACCCCCGAACGATCATAAGATTCACCCTCAATATTATCATCAACAACGAAATCATTGTCATTGTCACTCTCCTCCTCCTCCTCCTCCTCATCATCATCCTCCAGGTAGCCTCGTCCCTCAAACAGGTCCGCTGCCTTCATCTTATTCTTCAGCTCCGTCAGTTCCCTCTCTAGCCTCACCAACCGCTGCAGCATGCTCTCTCCTCGCCCAGCCACGCCCCTTGTATCTCCCCTCCCCTCCCCTTCCCCGTGAGAAGGGTGAGCTCCACGACTCTGACCGCGGTGTATCCTCAACCTCATGTCAATTTTGTCCGCACCGTCTTCCCCCTCCCCGTGAACCGAGGGATACAACTCCTCCCCCACACGATTGTAGGAACCCTTTCTTCGGGATTTGAACCCACGACGTGTCGTTCGACCTACCACATGAGACCGACTCACCAAACCTTTCCTCCTATCTCGAGGTTCCCCGTTTGGACGTGCGCGGTGGCCTTCGCCGTGCGCCTTGCTGTGGTGGTTATGTCGATCACGGCGTGACGTCTCCTGTCTATCTCGGTGGTGGTGGTGTGAGGTGTCGTGGCGGTGTGGTGTGTCGTTGCTGAGTGACGTGTCGTGGTCGTCCGTGTCGTGGTCATGGCGGTGTGACGTGTCGTCGTCTTGGCGGTGTGACGTATCGTGGTCGTCGCGGTGTGACGTGTCGTAGTCGTCGCGGTGTGACGTGTCGTGGTCGTCGCGGCGCAAAGTTTCGTGACGTCGGTTCACCCTCCTCATCTTGTGGTTGAGCCTGCCCGCCTTGTGCTGTATCGCCTCGCTCTCCCTCTCGATCAGCCTCAGCTCCTTCTCCAGCCACGCCTCCGAGGCCGGGTCCAACGTCCTTTTGGTGTCCTTTTCTGGGAAATTCTCCGACCTTGACCTTTTATTCTGATCTCCACGTCCTCCTCTTCCCTCTGTCTTCGCCTCCTTCACGGACTGGAGATCCATCTCCAACTGTGTGTCCGCTAGTCCGGATTTGTCTGTGAGTCCACCATCCTCCTCCGCTTCGCCCCTCTTGCTCTCTTTGTTTCTTTGGGTGAGTTGATCAGACATTTCCTCCCTTCCTCCCCCTCCTCGTCTCCCTCCTCCTCCTTTTCCTCTTCCTCCTCCTCCTCCTCCTCCTCCTCCTCCTCCTCCGTATTCTCTCCTCCCACCGACAGCTGTTTTCCCTCCAAAAGTTAACGAGTCACCTCGCTTCTCCTTTTCCTTAGCTAACATTTTCCTACCCTCCTCCTCCGTCATATTTTCCGCCTTCTCTTTCCTCAGTGTCTGCAACAAATCCACTGGAGACTCAAAGCTGTCTGAGCTTCCTTCCACCTTTCGGAAAGATGACATGCCATCGTCCTCTTCCTCCTTCTCCCCCTCCTTCTCCCCCTCCTCCGCCTCCTTCTCCTCCTCCTCCTCCTCCTCCTTTTCTTCCTCCTCCTCCTCCCCGTCATCCTCTCTCCCGTCCCCGGTCTCCCCCGCGTAGTCCTCCGCCCTCGCCACCCACTGGTCAGATTCGGATGACGTCAGACTGTCCGCCCATGGTGACCGCCCTTGCTGCTTGACCTTCCTCCGTGCGTCGACAGAGCGGCTCTCACGCGAGACAACATGCAGCCCTTTCCCCTCCTCACTCTGGTTAGTCTGTGGCACATGCCTACCACGGTTTTGCCTACCACTATCATGCCTACCACGGTCATGGTCTTGCCTACCACGGCCTTGCCTTCCACAGTCATGCCTACCAAACTCATGTGTACCACGGTCAGGGTCATGCCTACCACGGTAATGAACGGTGTCGGTTGGGTTGAAAGTCTTGTTGGTTTTTACTGACATCCGGGTTGGCTCTTCCTCGATAGTGGCGTCACTTCCCTTGTCAGGTGAATTCATCATGTGATATGATGCCGGTGGAGGCGATGACTCTGCTAAAATTCCTTTCACACGACGCGGTTCAGCAATTTGAGTAGCTTCCGCTGCAGACGTTTTGGAATCTTCTTTGGTGGACTTGAATTTCCTCGAATCAGACACGTTTATCGTAATGCTTGTAGAGAAAAGAGAATTCAATTTCTGATCTTCGTGTAGATCTAGGTGGTTTTCTTCCATGACCGATGCCGGTACATTTCGAGTGTGACGTATCACTCGCGGCTCGGAGAGTGCAGGGGCAGACAACTGGCTTTTCTTTTTCATCTGATCAGTCCCATCGTTCTCTGACTTCCCACTGTCAGAGTTATTTTCAGCCTTTTCTTCACTTTCTCTCGATTTCCGTGTTGAAAGTATTGGCATTCCCATCACTCCCCTTCGTCTTCGTCTCCTCTTCCTCCTCCTCGTCGTCCTCCTCCTCCTTTCGAGATCTTCCTCTTTCTTCTCCGCGTCCTTGGTGTGTACGGGCATCTTGAGCCGGAATTGAACCCCGGCCCCAGGCACCATGGCCTTGAGCTGTTCCAACGTGAGGAATACTCCCTGTGGGTCGTCTGTGTCTGTCTCCAGACCAGGCCCAGCTGTGGACAGGAAGGTCAGAGGTTTAAAAAATTACGAAATTACGTCGTTGTTTAATTAAAGGGGAGGGATTTATTTTATTTTTAGTAAGAGTTTTAGGGTACTTGTAACACAGATAGGAAACATATATATA